CAAGACAAAAAAAATACTCGTGGGCTTAATATTGATATATAGATGTCGGTTCCCAATATAAACTGCATTATCAAAAACATATTTGAAATTTTTGAATCTTTCCGATTCTAATTCCCAATAAAAAAACTTGGCCCATTGTGCACAAGATAATTTCCTGTCTCTTCTTAACGCATATGGAAGCTGAATAAGTAATGTGAATTTGTAATAGGCCCTAAACCGCCAAATGATACTGGCTTCAGGCATAACAATCGTAGAGAACGCATTTCCTATTTGCAGTAGACGAAGCCATTTGAAAGTTTCTTAATTTATTTAATGGCATGCCATATGATGCCATAGTTTTGTAATTTCATGCTTTAATTATAATGTCTTAGCAGAAATTGCCTTGAAACAAATCTTCCCAAATTTAGCTGATGGGACTATACTTTACTAGAAAAATGAATTAGAAATTATTCTTTGTTACTTTAATGGAATTTTTCATTAAGAAAAACTAGAGCTAAAGTTATGAATTAAATTAATTAACGTTTATGATATTGTCTTTTAATGGAGGATTTTGAGAAAAAGTACAGAAACCCCCAAAATGGTTTTATGGTTTATGGTATAAAAATTTATGGATATGATTAGACTCAAAATAATTTACTTACAATTTTTGAGCCGCTGAGAAGTACATCCATTTGTACCCAATATACCCATCCATCCGACATACTTCCCATCTCCAACCAACCGCCTTTCACTTATTTACTTTCTTGCTCAATTGTTTATTTACTTAACGTTATAAACAATTACCTCACTTGGTGTAAATTCATTCATAACAGCAGGGAAGTGGGTCAATTTAATTTTCGTACAAAATAATTTTTCCAATATTCTCAAATAAACAAAAGTTTTGTGTTCATATTTTATGCCCGGCACGGCCCTCTGCCTTCCGACATCCGCCATCCATCCTTCCACACCACACTGCTATTCATATGAAAATATTCCCATTCATTTAATCAATACGAATGGAAATTGAATACAAACATATTGATATATTTATTGACGCCATGGGGTGCACGAAGGCGCAGACTGGCTGGAAAGAACGAATGAAAGATTGGTGGCCAATTGTTGTGAACATGTGAATTGATTAAGAAGCAATTTGTCCGGACCAATTAATATATTTTACATATCGACCAATCGATTTGATATGACTGTTAAATGCATACAAATAAATAATCACATGTTCTAATCGTGTTACTACTGCCTTTTGGGGTGGGGGTAATATTTTGAGGGTGGGGGAGGTACTTCTGGAGAAAGTTAAGATTATTTTTTAGGCGTTTTTTGAGCAATTTCTAAGGTTGTTTTTCAAAGGGTTATCAATGGTATAATCATGATTTTTTTGTGAATTCGTATTGTTTTTAAGAATAGAACAGTGTTGAAATTTTGTTTGGGATACCGTAGTTATTTTGTTGTTGCAAATATATATATTGGGTGTGATAAGAAAGTGCAACGAAGTCGAACATCATAATTTTTACATTTTTTTAAATTTAATTGAATGAAAGCAAAAATGTCGGAAATAGCATCGAATTTTTGAATAAGTCTAGATTTGATCAATTTGGTCACCTTTGGCACGAATTATGGCCTGCAAACAGCCATTGAAACCGTCGCACGCTGCCTGAATCTTGCTCTGCGGTATTTTGGCTCATTCCCGGCGAAACGCTTACTTGAGGTGATCGACACTTTCGTATTTTTTAGTGCCAACCTTGCTTTCCAAAATGCTCCAGATACAATAGTCCAACGGATTGGTATCCGGAGATTTTGGTGGACATTGTGCGCTGGAAATGAAGAGAGGAACCTCATATTGTAACTATTCTTGAGTGGCGAATGCTGAGTCCTGTTGGAATGTCCAAGGTCTGCGGCCAAGATATTTGCGTGTCCAAGGCTTTAATACACTCTCCAGAATAGTTTCGTGATAATATTCGACATTTATTCTGATACCACGGTCGATTAATACCAGCGGAGAGCGACCATTGGCTGTTATGGCGGCCTACACTATCACCATGGTCTTCGCTTGAGTTCTGGTAACCAACCGAAGGTGGACATTTTCAGCTGACCTCTTTGGCAAGTAAACACGATCATTTTGTTTGTTTAAAAACTGCTGGACAACGAATGTTTTCTCATCGGAGACGGAGTAAAACAAATTCGTCAGTTCACCACTTCCGGCCAAGCGAAGCAACTCTTTAGCTCTTTTGAATCTATTTTCTTTCTTTTGCGGTGTAAGTTCTTGCACTTTTTGGAATTTCAGTGGAATATTGCGATATGATCTGTTCAACTCACGAGCCATTGTTCGGCCACTGCGACGCGGGTTTCGATAAAGATGATTCATTACTTTTCGAATCATTTCTGCTGTTTCATTCCGTCCACTTTCTTGACGTCGCGCTACGGGCTACCAGTATCACGGTAACGAGCGATGGCATGAGACATCAACAATTTTTTTTTTTTCATATTTAAAAGCTGGAGTGCTCTAACCATAGCCACTTGTGGTTTTCCAGCCAAATATAAAGAAATCACGCTATCACGCTTTCTTTTTTCTGAAAAACTCTCACAAAAATGCTGGAATAATCTTAACAGCTGTCTGACCAGTGGCTTAGAAATGACAGCAGTTTTTTTTTTGCAGTTTTTTCATCTCACCCTGTATTTTCCAATGGCTATCAGAGCAATAATCATATAGTTTTAAGAAATTTATTGCAGGGACTATCAGAACAAAAATCGCGAATTCCAAAAAATATTTTCCCAAGAATTATCATGACATAACCCTCAGTCATATAGCTATAGAGTTATATATCATGTGATACGGCCAAAGTGTGCCTCATCGAAATAACGGATATAGACACTAAGTCTCTTTGAACCAAATCTGTTTCCGGACATTTGGAGTCGATCTAACGGTGTCCGTCCGTCCTACCGTCTATCGGTCTGTCTGGCTGATCCGCATGATAACACTTGAAGGGAGTATCCGAATTGATCCAAACTTCGTATATCGTAAAGTTTTTTATCAAACTTAGATCGAGTTCTGAGATGTGTAATATCGAAGCACTCATTCTAGGACCTCCCCCACAAATGTCAAAATTTTCACAGAGAATAAATGAACAAAAAGGTATAAATGAACAAGAAGGTATTCTGATTTTATCAGAGCTACATCAGGTGCAAAAATGAACAATATCCTCCTACTCCAAATTTTTAAATTATTATACATCAAAAAAGTCTCCATTTTTTTAATTTTTCGGACATCTCAATATTTTTGTCCATACAAGATCTAGTATGAAGAACGGTACTTTCAGGTACCATCCCCACAACGGGTGAAAATTTTGAATGACCATGAAGGTCATAAAGCGCGAAATAAACATCCGATAAAATTCGTACTAGACACATTCCAATATTTTCATTAACACAGGTATAAGGATACAATATATTGGCCCACTCCGTCTGGTACCTGCCCCACAAAGGGGTCAAAAGTAATATGAGTAATCAAAATGCTCATAAAATGCCAAATAAGCATCTGATTCTTTCTGAACTTTCACACATTCCAATATTTTTACTAACAAAAGATATGGTGTTGGGATGGAATATATCGGCCCACTCCTCTTGATACCTCCCCCTCAACGGGTCAAATTTTTGTATAATTATAACTCTTATAAAATACCAAAAAACATCCGATTTTTTTTTTCAAATTTCACCAGAAAACTTTTTTTATTGAACCATGGATTTACCCCTTCTGGTACCTGCCTCACAAATGTCCACATCCCAATATTTTTATCAGAAGTAGGAGCTTAAAAATCCAATGTTATGATACTGGCAATCCTTAAAAAGTATTTGTAAAACACTAAAATTTATATGTGAAAAGCCCCGACACATCAACAGTTTTAATGCTGTAATACCCTGAAAATATTGGGAAAATATTAACAGTATTTATTGACCTTGAAAAATATTTAAGTCCGAAAATGGCACAGGGGAAAAATTATTAAAATGAAATCCATGATAATGACACATGAAGCCCCTGAGTGTATTTCTTGAAAAAATCCACGATTATGAAAGTCCTAACAAATATTCTTAAAAAATCACAATTATGGCATAGGAAGTCTTAAAATGATTATTTAAAATAAACACGATAACAGTACACGAAGTCGGTTTAATAAACTTAAAAATCTTCGATAATGACACAAGGACTCTTGACAATTTTTCTTTCAAAATCCAAAAAAAATATATATTTGTAAAAATCAACTTTTAAAAAATCTTAAATTCACCATTTTCGCATAAGAAAACCATTAAAAAAGTCTTAAAAATATCCGATATGGATCAGTTTGCCCTTAAAAAATATTCTTGAGAAATCCACGATTAGAAGAACTAAAAACACACGTCTATGACACTGGAAGCTCTTGAAAAAATATTCTGAACAATCCCAAATTTTGAACAACATGTCCTTAAAAAATCACGATTATGGTACCTTTGTTACAATATAAATGTCCACTATTTTTGCACAGGAAGTCCTTGACAAATATTCTTAAAAAAATACAAGATTTTGACACTGAAAATCAATGGAAAATATTTTTAAAATAATTAGTATTGTGACAAAGGCAAAGAAAAAAAAAACAGAATGTGAGAAATTCCCTAAGAAATATAAAAAATGTTTTAACAAATACCCGATAATGGCATAATGAAAAATTGAACCTGTTTTTTGTCCATGCTTGAGACACAGTAAAATATTGATGTTTCTGAAAATTTACGAAAATAACTTAAGAAATTCTCGAAAATAATACTTAAAAAAAACTCCAAGACATGGTCAAGGAAGTCCTTAAAAGAATTTCCTAAAAATATATATATATTTTGAATTTTAATAAATAGTCAGCAACAATACGATTTTGGACGGAGAGTTAAAACAACCTTGAAAAGACGTCCACCTCAAAACTCATTTAACAATATTTCCCCTTATTTCATACTTCAAATTACTTATTATCGCTTTCTTCCCTTTCCAGATCATCATGTCCATTTCGATGTGACCAGCCTAAAGGATGATTTCGAAAACGACAGCTGTGTAACGTATCAGCGGGCAGGCGATACAATCATTGTCAGTCTCGGTTTTCTACAGATCAATCATCGTTATACGATAGATTTGAAATTACCCTGCAATCTGTTTGGTGATGTCAGCAGCACCCAGTTCAAGCCGGATGTTACCACAGTTCCTAATCTGCATTGCCGGATAACAGAGTTCTCGGGCGTTAAACACGATGAGCATGATTGCTATGAAATGAAAATCGAGTTTTTTGCCTACAAAGAGAAACTAATGCGTGAAACATTGCACATTGTCAATTCCAATGATGATAAGGAGGTGCTGAAATTGGTAATTGCTGCCCGAGTGCTGGGCAAGGGCAAGGGAACACCAATGCTGCGTACCGGTATACATTGCATAGGTGTGGAAAAGGACGAGGAGTCGGAGGCTTCAGATTTTCCAGGTTTCAGCAAGGGCTCATAAATTCAGAAGTGTTGTGATGGAGGAGGAGCAGGAGGAGAAGGAAAAAAGTGGAGCAGGAGGCCATTTTGTCTGCCGATGCATTCAGAGCGAATGCAAAAGCTTTGATTAATTAATTAATTATTAATGAATAATAAAAAATAAATCGGGTATGTGATGGAAACTAAGGGCCTGTTTATATAGTTTGAATGAAAATTAATGCTAAAAACACCAATTCCAAGAGTGTTTTAGAAATGTTTGTATTTTCCAAATTTGAATATAAATCAAAACATTGAAAAAATACACATAAAATTGCTCTTCTTTCGCAGTCAATTTCTAATTGATTTAAATAAATAAATTGTAAATCCGTTCAAAGTGTCATGACTGGAAAATGTTTTTGAAAATGTTATTCAGGATCTACAAACGGAGAAATGAGTTCTTGGCATCGGGGATATAGGGTTTTTTCTTGCCCAAAAAAATCAGTTTTTCTGTTTAAATGTTGAAATTGTTTGAATGTTGTTATTCATCTAAATTTTTATGACAACTTGAACCGATTTGTTTTCCATTACATACCCGTATATGTTTTTTCTTTTTTTGTTTTCTTTGCTTAGTTTGTAAGTAATCCCCTTTGTAAGTGGCATTTCTTTAACTAAACTCGATCGTGCCTATGTTCAAAAAATTTAAAAACGAAAAATAAAACATTAAATTTTATTACAAATATTACTAAATAATAATAATAATAATTAAAAACTCCAATAGAATTTGTATTTTTCAAATCTATATAACTACCAACTCCCAATGTGGGCATCCGACCAAAATTGCAAATTGCCAGATATTTATAACTTAAGAGCATTTGTTTTAATATTTTTTTTTTCTCTCAGTCTAACTTTGTTATACTTCTTCAATGGAAATCATAAATATATTCTCCATACATTGGAAGCAATGTCAATGAAATAGCCAAAACAAAGAACTGCAATCCCTTCTTGGATTGTTAAAAGAGTAAATATTTTAAACACAGACTAAAATAGAAAAACAAAAAAACAAACAGCTATTGGGAACAAGTGAACATTTAAATGTATTAAATATATATAACTATAATATTAAAATAAATACTTTTAATTCTGTTTAAAATATTTTAATTTAATTTACATATTTCAATCTCTGTAAGATTTATTTTTGTTAATAAATATTATAAATAAATAATGCCTATTCTCAAGCACCAAACATAAATACATCACAAAACTGTTATATTTTTGTCTGTTTAAATTGCTGTATCCCGAATGAATAAAATTTTAACTATTAATAAATGAAATAACACATATTCCTTTTAAATATTAAAAAACAGCACTTTGAAACAATTTTTTTGTGAGAATTTTTCCCTTTCCCTTTCCCTTTTTTTGTTTTTTTTTTTTTTTTGATTTGATGAACAATGAACAACGTCCGCTTTTATACCCTACACCACATAGAGGTAAGGGTATTATGTCTTTGTGAATTGGTTTGTAACATAGAGAAGGAAACAAGATAGACCCATAGTTACTTTTGAGGATCTTTATAGAATCACTTTCTGAGTCGATTTATTCATGTCACTCCGTCTGTTCATGTATTCTTGTGAAAAAAAATGTAGGCTGCATTTATTATCCGATTGAGAAGAAATTTTCCAAACAATATTTATTTGGCCCAAGGACGAACCCTATTGGAATTGATTATAATCATATCCGATTTTGATATAGCTCCCATATATCTTCAACTGATTTTGGGTTAATTGTGCAACAAATGTCCAATATAAGTTAAAATGACCTGACCTTTGGCAGATTCCACTGAATTCTGTCTAGAAGCAAGTAAATCAAATTTGGTAATGGTCGGTTCAAATATAGCTGTTGCTCCCATTTATATGTATCATCCGATTTGGGTTTTTAAGTCCCTCATACGCGTAATATGTACTCCACAACAATAATCTTTGCTACCAGCTGTCAGATACAGCTCGGCTCCACTCCACTTTTGACCTTTCCTTACTGGTTATTCACTACTGAGTGTGCGAATCACACTTTGAACCGAATATGTCATTTTGGAAAGAACTTAATATAACTTCTGTGCTAATAAGAACAACCTCCCACTAAGAGACTTCCCTGTGTGTTTAATGATTTATGTAAAGTTATGTATATGTTCTTAAAGCTTATGTTCAATTATATATCTGCTTAGAGTGACTTCAAAAATTGTCAAAAGTTCTCAGAAATAAAAGTTTTCAAATCATTTTGTGTGTGAGCTTTGGATTTTATCTAATTTTTATGTACAATTAAATTGAACTTTGATACAGGGTTATGTGGTTGAAAAAAGTCATAACACTAATATACATGTGTGGTACAACTAAAACTGTTGGATGAAGATGTATCACTGCCTTTTTGATGATCTTGAAATTTGGCGTTTTACTTGGGACTTCAAGAAAAAAGATGGGTATGTTAATTGTGTTATAACAAGAACCATCATAATAATGATTTCAACTGGATGAGTATTTGTTCAAAAAGAAAAATATACAAAATCATGAGCATACTTTTAGGCGAAAAAAAAAAATCAATAACAATTCTATATCTGCTGCAAATAATCTTTCCTTTAGAATTTAGACCGAGTTCAGAAATAGTTTACTTCCTTCTTAGTATAGGAAGTATATCTGGGTTGATAATTTCAAGTCTTTTTACGACCATAAAGTTTGTTTGCTGGTCCAGGTGAAGAATATTTTTTTTTTTGTATCATCGCTAAGTTGATTATTAGTTTTAAGTTGCGCAGCTACACGGGAGTTGGTAGCTGCTTCACTCGGAGACCTTTGATCCATTGGGTTCATCCTAGGAAGAATATTTAGCGATGATAGGAAAGGAAAAGGTGTGGTGATAAAACAAAGAAAGTTTTGTGAGACTAGAGCCGGTTTTTGAACCGGAACCATTGTTATGGTAATATTTTGATGATAAACCCCAAGTTTTCAATCGGCAACTAATGATGGAAAAAAAAATGTTGGCTTTTGCTTACAAAAGCGATAGTCGTGCCCTTTTTCAGGCTTTGGTAACGATAAGGGCACTTACTTTAGTGATATACTCGACTCCTGACACACCCAACATATTGGATTCCGTTCCGGCTCAACACTCACTCGGTGATAAACCATCAGAAGAATGAGACGGAGCTCAGTTAGTCAGTCTTGATTTCTTGAATAATTTGTTTGTTTTGTGTTTTTTAACTCTAGTTCAGTTCGCAGATTTTTGAAATTTTATTTCCAGAGGTAGGTATTTGTAGACTTATTTTTAATTATGTTTGTCCACAAAGGTTAGAGTGTCAGCTATAATTTGCTTTATAAAGGGTACACAATCTAGCGGCTTTTTCAATTTGAATATCATGGTTATATTTTGGAAGAAGAGAAGCACCCTCAGCATTTGGGGCATATCCGTGAGCATGCATTGAAAAGCAGATGCACCCAAAACGAATCAATGTTTGGTGCAGATTTTGATCCAGGGCCATAATTGACCATTTTTGATGTGAAACAAGGAGTGTTTGTTACGTTATAAGTCCCTATAGGTGAACGTTCTTGTATTCACAAAAATTAAAGAGAAGGATATTGGCCACATTTGGCATGCCACACTGCTGAAGCTTTACTCGGATTTTCAAAAAAAGGTATTTGGCGGACACTTCTTATAATGGACCGTATTTCGACTTTTGTGGAGTTTCCAAAAAAAATCAGGTCGACAAAATGTTAATTTTGATATAACTCAAGAACCCTTTATTAGTTAGGTATCTTCATAAGCTCCAAATAATGCCGGTTCTATCCCGGATCTTGACTATCGGGTCAAATGTTCGAATATCCGGTCCCACCCAATAAACGTCTATTTTATTTTGATAGGAATTTAAAAGAAAAATCGATGTGTCTTTACTAGAGAATACTATAGATCTCTTATAAAATCTACTGATCTCTTTTTAAAATGTAAAGTTTTCTTCACATTGTTATAATTTTGCACCAATTCTTTTTACTTGATAAAGTTTTTTAATCTATTAAAAGAAAGTTTTAATTAAATTGAGTATTATTTTTCTTAACTTCATTAATTTACTAAAAAAAACAATTTTTAAAAATTAAATATTTAATCACATATATACAAAAGCTGTCACCCTAATGTACATGTACATCTCTAAACCACAAGCCGTGCCACACAAAAATTATTGCACCTGATATTAAATAAATACATATGAATGTAAATTTTACACTCAAAATACACCCACATCTGTAGTACGCTCAGTAGCTAACAAATCTTTAGAAGAAAACATGTGTGAAAATAAAAATTAAATAATGAAATTGATTGTAAATATTATTTGTAATAATTTTGGCTCTACAATAAATAAATAACTATTTCATCAACTTCTTATATAAATTGTTTTACTTTGAAAGGATAGCAAATTGAATGACGAAATATATAAAACATAATATGAAATAGGATTAAATGGTGTTTGGTTCGGAAAGACCCAATTTTAATAATCGTCAAAATAATGTATACTCCAGCCACCGGTTAAAATTTTCAAAATGTCAAAAATCGGTCAGTATCGCTTTATGATGAAATTTATTGATTAATATTAAAAAACTGCTACATTATCTTCTTTCCGTCTACACCTTAAAAAAGCTCTTAAGACAATAAAACGTTTCGACATAAAAGGTAATAATTCTCAATCAAACAGATGAATCCAAATCCAAAAGATGAATAAAATGTTGTGATTGCATCACCCAAGCTGTCAAGTGCTTGGATTCCCAGGTGTTGATTAGCCACCTATCAGTCTAGCAACCAACAATAATAGACAGCTGTCAGCACAGGGTGAGATAAAAAAATTGCAACCAACTTCAGACTGCTGTCATTTCCAAGCCACTCGTCCGACAACTGTTAAAATTATTCCAGTGACAGATTATTATATTCTTTACAAGCGTACAAAAGCATTTTGTTGACAATTTTCCAGAAAAAAAAGTTATTCGTGATGGAATTCACGCGTGATAGTGTGATTTCTTTATATTTGGCTGGAAAACTACAAGTGGATATCGTTAGAACACTCCAGCATTTAAATGTGAATAAATCTTTTGTGTCTCGTACCATCGCTCGTTACCGTGATACGTAGTCCAAAGTTAAGGAAATGGGCGGAAGAAAACAACAACATCACCCGAAATGGTTCGAAAAGTAAAGAAGCGACTTGATCGAAACCCGCGTCGCAGTGGACGGAAGAAAACAGCAACATCAGCAGAAATGGTTCGAAAAGTTAAGATGCGACTTGATCGAAACCCGCGTAGCAGTGACCGAAAAATGGCTCGTGATTTGAACATATCGCAATATTCCATTCGGCAAATATTGATTATTGATATTGGTTGGCCACCAGAACTCAAGCGCTGGCCATGATGATGGTGTGGGCTGCCATAACCGTCGATGGTCGCTCTCCGCTCGTATTAATCGACTGTGGCATCAGAATAAATTCCGAATATTATCGCGAAAATGTTCTGGAGGGTATATTAAAGTCTTGGGCACGCAAACATTTTGGCCGCAGACGTTGGACATTCCAACAGGACTCAGCACCATCGCACTCAGCACGCGCCACCCAAAAATAGTTACAAAATGAGGTTCCTTCCTTAATTTCCACAATGGCCACCAAAATATCCGGATACCAATCCGTTGGACTATTGTGTCTGGAGTATTTTGGAAAGTAAGGTTGGCACTTAAAAATACCAAGCAAACACTTAGCCGGGAATGGGCCAAAATACCGCAGAGCATCATTCGGGCAGCGTGTGACGGTTTCATTGGCCGTTTGAAGGCCATAATTCGTGCCAAAGGTGACCAATTCGAACAAATCTAAACTCCATCTAAAATTTGATGCTATTTCCGACATTTTTTGCTTTCATTCAATAAAATTTTGATAGTGACATTTAAACTGAGCTTTAACTTTGAAGATGATTTCCGGAGGAAATCGAAATATTGGGTGATTAAAAAAGGAAAAATTGAAAAATAAAAAACCTTAAGCCAAACAATGAACCTTCTTCTTTCTCTTAAGGTGGCACATCATCATAGCTATGCCATCACATAGCCTTAATACCAACTTTGAGTGTAAAGGCTGTGTGATGGCACCGCTATGATGATATGCATTAATATACCTACATATTTAAATAATACAACAATATTTATATACTTTTTCCATAACAAGAACTAAATTATATTTATTGCCATTTTTTTCACAAAATTGTATAACAATATATAAATTTGTTTTGTGTGTGTGTATGTGTGTTTTACAAAATTTTCACTTGTGTTTCACAACTTAATTATTTTTAGGCTTAATAAGATTTGCGCAGTATTATGAATCTACATAAAATACGAATAGCAATTATGATATAATTTAAGGATACAGAGAAGCTCAGAACCTTAGAATTTACAAAAAAAATAACTATAAAATCGTTAAAAAACATATCAAATCATAGCAGGAAACATAAATATTCGATTACAAAAAAAATAAATGAAACAAAATAACTATAAAAAATTTTTACTTAAAATAAGGAACAAGGAAAACACTGTGATCTTAAAGAAAATTGTTTTTTGAAACCGATTTGGAAGTAACAATCCCAAAAATTACCATTTTCTAATGAAAATATCTAAACCAGCAATTGACTGCAGACATGCCACCCAGTCAAATGCCTATTTTCCTACTACGTAAAGCATACAATTACTACAGAGTTGAGTTTGATTGACTGATAATATATATAGTTGATAGTTTATCAAGAGGTGTTGACGGTTAATAAGAATAGGCAAATGTCTTTTCCGCTAAACATTTACAAAAAGCTCCGGCAGCAGATGTTTTTAATGATCCAAAATACGCATATTACCCGATACGATTTTATTCTCCAATATGGCACCGGCGGGTATATCAATACGATCACCATGATTGGCAATAATAATTACGGTACCCTGTTGAAAAAATGAACACAATTACTACCATTCCAAAATTTAAAATAATTTAAAAAAAACCTTACCCTCAAAGACACACCACGTCCAAAGGTAACATCTCCGGACACAGTTAAATGATCCAATTCAATGATGTCTGGTATATTGGCAAAACGGCCAAGGAACTCTTTGACTTTGGCAAAATGATTCTCACCCAATTTCACCAATGGTGTGGTGGGGAACATACGCTGTGGCGACATCACCAAGCTACCATTTTTCAAATTATACAAATTGGACATAACCAACAGCAAATCGGAGGTCTTTTTCACGGGCAAGAAACGTGAACGTGGCACATTAATACCCAGGGCACCATTGAAACACTTCATGGCAGCACCAACGGCAGTTTCCAATTGAATGACACGCAAACCATTCTCCAATGTCTTGTTATTGATGATGATCTCCAGATTGAGAGTACGTTCGTGCAGAACACGATCGATAGCTAAAATAAAAAAGGGAGATATTATTATAAAGAATACGAACATTCCAATTTTCCAAAATTAAATTTTTTAAAATAAGTACAGGAAAAGTCTAATATATTATGAAAACGGAGGTAATAATGGAAGACTCTTATTTTTACAGTTTACATCGCCAAGTAACTTAAATAGACACATTTTTGGTTTCAAATTCCTTGAATACCGCATTTTGGGCATAATAAAGTGTCTTCGGCAATATTACTGAAAACCAAAGACCTATTTGGTCCATTTTTCAAAAAATAGCTAAAAACTAGTTTTAAACGAGATCGAAGTATGTGAAAATATTTTACACATTTATTTGTCATTTTACACATTTATTTATGTGGAAATATGTGTGTGTGATGCAACAGATTGAGTGGACCGAAGTATTCAATTTTCATTCTTGGTCTAAAACAGATAAAAAAGTTGGTATGTGCCAAATTTGAAGGAAATCGAACATATATATCCAATTTTGTGCTAAATCATAAATTTCGATAAACAACATATTCATATCAGATTTCTGGTTGAGAGACATATATTTAGATATAGCAAGTTCCAAAGAATCGCCGACTACTTTCCCAAGTTATGACAGATAAAAGTATTGAAAATTGTGACTCTTTGTGGGTTAGAACCAGTAGGGGTTCGTATACATATTTCATCTTCACAACAGATTTTGCGTTAGCAAAAATATTTGGATGTGTGAAATATGAAGAGAGTTGGATGTTTATTTCGCTTTCTTTGAGCGTTTTGTTTTTCAAAAATCTTGTGGGGGAGGTTCCAGAAGGAATGGTACGATCTCTACCATCTTTATATTAGATCTTGTGTTGATGGAAATATTGCGATATACCAAGTCTAAATGGAATCGGATGTTAATTTCGCGTCTTATGAGCTTCATGGATATTCAAAATGTTAACCCCTTGAGGGGGAGGTAACAGAAGGAGTGGCCCAATATATCCCATCTTCACACCAGACCTTGGGTTATTAAAAGATTTATAAAAAGTTGAAAATGTATGCATCGTTTTCGTCTGTTAGTTTTATACGCTTTCAGGTTGAGTCAAAATCTCAGATAATTCTTAATTTTTTTGATAAAATGTCAACGGAAGTAATATTCTAGATCAAATTTCATTATGAGTCTCTGAGGAAAAGAAATTTGTATACCAACCCGAAAGCTACCAATGCATCCAAAGAGTCACAATTTGATGCGGTTAATGGCCTGGTGGTATAATTAGACTGTATTTTCTTCAAAGCTGCTGCGAGTCGTAACGTAACTGTGAATAGTGAGCGCTACCATGTGGTGATGCCCAATTTTTGCCCCACATGCAAGAGCTTGACGAGAGCATGACTTGTGGTTTCAGCAACGGCCCCATATGCCACAGAATCCGCGTAACCAACGACTTATTGAGATAGTAATTCGGTGGTCATTTTATTTCACATACGAGACAAGTAAATCGGATCGTGGGATTGATTTAACGCCTTTAGCCTATTTTTGTGGGACAATGTCAAAGCTCGAGTTTGGCCGCTTTAATTGACTCATTTGAAAATTGCATTGGAACATTTATTCGTCAGAAACCAGCCAGCATGCAAACATTAAACATATTAGCCAACTGCTTCGGAACCTCCCCCATAAAGCGTCACCAGTTAGAATAATCATAACTTATCTGTCGAATAATCATAACTTATCTGTCGGCAATCATAATACATCTGTTGGCAAAACCTACTGACACTATTTAACTTTATTTTTGAAAATTTTCTTTTAGAAGGACCTTTAAAGGCGGCATGCAGTGAAATAGAAAATCAATATGAGGTTTTTTGCAATTAACACATTAGCTGTCTTATATAAAAAATATAGGTTTTTTTGGATCTTGACATAATTCCCCCTATTGAATAGTGTGGCGTAGAATATAAGAATATACATTTGCGCATATAATATTTTCTCTGACCTCCTCTTCAATTAAACCAAGAAATTCTACTTACCCGACAAATTCGCCCAAATGTTGTTGGTGTTGAAGAACTTGAAAGTCTTCACAGATTTAAAATCATCCACATGTTCTTTGGGGACCTGGGCAATTTCCAGAAGACGCAATTTATCTTCAAATTGAATCAAGGTACCACCCTGGATTATTCAATAATTAAAAACAATAACAACATTATTTGCGATTAGAAAACAAAACAACAAAATATTAAACAAAGACTATTATGTCTTACCTTAACATCAGCTCTGGTCTTATCGGTTACCTCCATAACAAATTCCACGGGTTTCGCATCGCGTTCATCGCCCACCAATTTATTCAAAATATTCAAATCAACAGTGGCACCCAGGTTATCAATATTCGACAAGAAACAATATTCACGGCCTTCATCAATAAATTTCTTCAGCAAACCGGAATTGCGGAAGGTATCGTAGAAATCACCGTGACCAGGTGGATACCAACTGGAAATTGAAAACAAAAAAATTTTAAAATAAAATTAAGAAAACAATTTTCCACTGCACTTACGCCTCAATGTCTTTCTCTACATCAAAATCTTTGGCAATGGGCAAAAACGATTCACGGCTAATGCGTGGAAAACAACTTTGGTTAAAGGTATGGATTTGTACACGGAATCCCTTGTATTTGCGTATAATCTTCTCCGTATCCTCGTCTGTGTTGAATGAGTTCATCAACACCAAGGGGACATTGGCATCGTATGTTTTGTTGAGATGCTATAAAAATGATGACACAAGTTATTGAAACATTGAAATGCAAATTCGTTTAGAATCAAAATAAATAATGCTTACCTCAATTTGTTGTACGGTCAAATCCAAAAAGGTCAAATCCGATCGCACAGGTATCACACTCTTGGGTCCATGACAACCCATCGATGTGCCGAGACCACCATTAAGTTTAATGACAACCAATTTGTCTAACATAGAACGAATCTAAAGGGGGGAGGGGGGAATATTGTGAAGATTAATTTTAGTTTTGTTATTTCTTTTTCAACTCAAGTAGTTTATTGTTAATGAACACAACAAATGATGAAGAAGAAGAAGAATAAGGAAAAAAAGGGGGAACAATTAAGCTCAGTGCAAATATGCTAAGATTTATTACGGCAGCTATATAAGGCTTACAAACAATGCTAATTAACCAAAAAATTGTAGTTAATTTTATTGGCTTAAAGCAAAAACATGTTACATTATAAAATTTTAAGGCTGCAATAAGGTTAAACGCAAATGTAAATATTAGGGCTATCAAAGAAAATCGCAATTTATTTTTTCTGAAATAGAAGGAAAATAAACATAGACAATTATGGGAATCCATGAATTAAAATATTGGTTTCTAAAATGTCATTAGAGGGTACAAAGCTATTCTTTTGTACAAGCAATTGGAAAAACATGAGATATAGACTCGCTCTGTAAATCTGGTCCCTCAAATGAGCTAAAAAATATTCTGAAACTTCGAAATATTGGTCCGTTAGAGAAGGTTCGCCAAATTCAGTTCGGCCAGTAGATGCTATAATTCAGTGCCGGGATTAAATATGACCATAGCCAGTTTTGTCGAAACTGCAGTACATTCTAACTGCTGATTGTGCTTCGTTTTTTGACGTTCAATTACGTCGGAGGTCAGATAGATGAGAATTTTAGCCAGCAAAAGTTCTTAGAAATCTTTTAAAACTCATGACTCCTTTCACCCAAAATGAGTGAGTGAAAATCGTTCCTATTACACGACTTTGTACAATTCAGACCGAACTTGTTTGAGCTCCAGACTCTAGTGTCGCATGATTGGAAAATCTGGTGGCAGTAGCACTCTAAACGCCAAAGAGGTCGTAAATTATTCGAATGATTGTAGGGTGTTTGCGTGGAGTTCAATCGTAAATGATATATAAAGTTTATCTCCTATCTCATGAACCTTGCAAAGTTCTCTAAAGGGAAGACATCCAACTAGACACCACGAAATCAAATGCCCTACTTTTTTTTTGCTACATAAACTGTGGATGTGGAAAAGCACATCGATGAACCAAAAAATGCATCAAAAATACCCCAAATAAGACAGGTGAGTCTTTGGTAAGCTGGTCCGAGAATACTAGTGCTATGGCATGAGCAAGCATTAATACGACCTGAGAACTGCAATAGATCCCAATGTGGGGGCCATTCAAACCATCATATGATGGATACATAGAATAGATTTATCCACATTCTGCACGGTAATAAAAGGAGAGTGTCACACTTCTCCAGACTTAACCATAGTTTTACCTAATCCGATAAATGTCGTGACTTGACAACACCCCATTTTTCATGGGTCAAACCATCTCCTGATAATCGTCTCCATAAGTAGATAGCCCGATTTCATAACCTCTAAACAACTCACTTTCCTTAACCATAAGAAAACTCACTGGCCAGAATTCAGAAAGTTCACCAAACTTCGCTTCAGAGAATTGCCCAACCCTTCTGATGTTCGGGTAGCAGAAATGATTTTCTGAAACATTATCAGAGCTGCAGCCGCTCACTATGTACCTGCTGGTCGAATACCCTAGATAAGATTAAATTTCCCAGCAGAGGCAGCGGGATTAGCAAACTGTTCCTTGAATCAGTGATTTGACAGTAGAAGCCAACCGGTTGGTACAGGAGCATAAGAGGAAAAAGTGGCTAGACCATATGAAGTGTTGCAACATTGGAACCAATATGAGTAAGCTGTGGGTAACAGTTAAGCCGCTCTCGTACCCTGGAAAAAAGGATGATAGGACCTCAGTCACTTTTAACGACGTAACGGTGACTGATCCGAAGAGGTGCACTGAGTATTTTAACCGACAATTTATCGAGCATTCCGAGAGTGTCAGGGCAAAGCGAAGAGTACTATGTTGTATCAAATCCTTTCCGTTGAGGAGGCCCCACCATAGTTAACGATGGGTCACTCGATACGTTAATAACGCTAAAGCGTTGGGCCTAGGCGGAATCTCAATGGTAATGTTGAAACTACCACATACGATGGGAGTTGAATATCTGACAAAAGTCGTTAGCCTGTCGCTAGCCACCCACATCGTTCCCGAAGTTTGAGTGTTCCCGCGATTGAAGTCAGCCAAGGATGCCAGCGAAGGCGAATCAAAGGCCAATTTCGTCATCAGTTGCTAAGGCTCTTGAGACGTTGGATCGTCAACTCTATGTGTGGACGCCAGACATCAGAACATGGACTTCCGAGGTGAGTACTCGGGTGAATGTGCAAGCCGAGGGAAATTTAATACCGACCACGAACTACCCCAAGATTCTAGGACTCACATTCTACCGCATGTTTAAGTCCTCTGCACTAGCCACAGCTATAAGCAACAAAATGAATAGTAGGAAAGGTACGAACTGGACAACTAGGCGGCACTAGTGTGGTCAACGAATACAAATGCTACGCAGTGGGAGAGCATCCATCCATCTGACCCGCTTTTAGAAGTTATGAAGAAATATCGAGTAAACACAGTCCTCGGAGATTATCTGCCACCCATTGCAGCTGAAAAACGTTGGATGTTCAGACAAACCAGAGTAGTTTTGGACCAATTATATTCAGAATGGTGCAATCGTCTCAATTCGTATTGGTTACGAATTAATGATTTTACGAACTTGAAGTCAGAGCCCAACAAATTTGGTAGGACAAACATAAAAAGTTAGTCTTATTTCTATAAAGTGAGTATTTTTCCCATAAATTAATACTAGTTTCTCTATTAAGACCAGCAGATGTGCTTCTCTAACAGAATATTTGGAATTCTGTCAGAAATCCTGAAGAACATCCATCTATATATAGATCGTATTGGGCACGAATTGATGTTTTTACAAAATTGAAGTCAGAGACCATCAAAATTGGTAGGACAAATATAAAAAGTTGATCTCATTTCTATATACAACTTAAAGTGAGTATTTTCCCAATAAAATAATGCTAGTTTCTCTATTAAGACCACCAGATGTGTTTCTCTAACAGAATATTTGGAATTCTGTCAGAAATCCCGAAGAACATCTATCTATATATAGATCTTTATTAATCGGAATCCTAAATTGATTTAATCTACAGAAAATCTTTTGAAAAGTTTTTCTTTTATAGAAAGCCTTCAAATATAATAATCTATCAGTGGGAGATCAGTAGAAACCATTTTTCATTTATGTGTTTGATTTCTCTTTCGAGACGAGCTTAATGATCTGAAATTTGCAGTGAAAAGGAAAGCCAGATAGACACTATCACACACTCACCACTATGCGACGCGTTTCGCCGTTGGTTAAGCGGCTCATCAGACATATTTGGTGTGGATGATGGCTTACAAGGGCCGTTCTCTGGAAAGTAGTATATATTTCGAACTTATTGCAAATTAGCATATGCGGATTATACACTAGAATCTCTCCAGGTTCGACTGAAGTTCTATTGGCAGATCTTTTTCACAGCAAAGTTTTTGTTTTTGTAGTGATGGATTTTTTGCCCACAACAACTACATTGCTTCCAATGCATACACTTGTTTTAGTGCTACTTTAGGAAGACGGGTTAATGGCTCTGAACGTAGAGACGGCAACTTCTAGTTGGCTGCACACCGAGGTCCGCGGTTCATTTGGACATTTCTTCCCAGTACTCTCTTTATAAATGCCCTGTAGAAGTTCCTTTATCTTCAGGGAGACTATGTGAAAGAAATACTCTAAAAATATAAAAAAATAAACAAATTTTTGAAAGTAATTCTTTGTCCACAGAGGGCCCGCAGAACTTGTAATTTATCTATAGGGGATCAGTAGAAACTGTTTTCTTCGCAACATTTTTGAAGATAATTCTGTTTGAAAAAATCATATGGATGGACTTCTAATTTCAAGTAGCCTATGTGAATGGTTCTCCGGCCACATACGAATTGGGTAATGTCTTTGACTACACATATCAGTTTTTCTTATGCGTTATGCGTTCTTAAACGTTTTTTATCCATTGAAATTTTGTAAAAAATGTACTTGTCCATTAGATAGGTACCCCATGACTACGCCAGAGCTGTATATATTTGTTTTATCAATAGAAGAGCTGTAGCATATTTCTATTAATCATATATGCTTAGACATCCACCATCTAAGAAAAAATCTGCTATATACTGATGATTTGTAATAAAACTGTACCAAAAAAGGAAATAAGACAATTTTAGTACATGTACCAAATATACCCAAGTAAAGGTAAATGCAGCTACATGAAAAAAACTCAAGAAAGCAATCAAAGGTTATTAAGCAAATTATGTAATTAGAAGCATACACCTATACGTACGAACGATTTCCAAACAAAACAAAATTTATAAGTATTAGAAAAATAACGTAATAGGTTACCTCATTCTTTGAAGAGAACCACAGTAAAAATATAAACACATCCAATTCAAAGGATTTTATTATTTTTTTTTTTTGGTTTTTGTCAAAGGAAAACAAGGTGGGAAATGACATAGATATAATAAAGTATGTATGAAAATGTGTGTCTGTGTATGTTGGTGTATTATTTGTATTTTGTTTTAATATGAAACGACAAAATTTAGAAACATCCAAAAAAGCCAATTCCAACAAATCTACTAGAGTCATATGCCAATCAAGTTAAGAAAAAAATTAAGACAAATTAAAAGAAACAATTTCGTTTTACAAATCAATAAATTTTAAATTAAATTTTGTCGTTAGTTTAAAAATAAAATAATGCTATTGAATCGTGCAATAATCATTAAATTTATTTTCATTTTTTTGTGGAGGGCGAATCAAATGAACCAGCTCAAAATAATGATGGATGAGATTAAAGGGACTTCTAAACATAGTTTGGAAGAGAAATTAACTCAGATATCGTTTTTCACAAATCTCATTTGTGTTCCATATTTTTGTCCAATAATTATGTAGTTTTTGTACATGAAATGTGGTAAAAAGTTTGAGAAGAAATTGCAAAATGGATCGAGAATTTTCCCATGTTGAATTATTGTAAAAGAAATTCGTATTTTTTTCCTTTTGATAATATACAGGGTGATATGAAAAAACTACAACCAACTACAAACTGCTGTCATTTCTAAGTGACTCGTCCGACCGCTGTTAAAATTATTCCAGTAACAGTTCATTATATTGTTTACAAGCGTACAAAAGCTTTTTGGTGAGAATTTTCCAGAAAAAAGTTATTCTTGATGGAATTCAAGCGTGATAGAGTGATTTCTTTATATTTGGCTGGAAAACCACAAGTAACTATCGTTAGATCACTTGTGTCTCGTACCATCGCACGTTACCGTGATACTGGTAGCCCGCAGCCCGACGTCAAGAAAGTGGACGTAAGAAAACAGCAACATCAGCAGAAATGGTTCGGAAAGTAAAGAAGCGACTTGATTGAAACCCGCGTTGCAGTGGCCGAGAAATGGCTCGTGCGCTGAACATATCGCAATATTCCATTCGGCAAATAGTGAAAAATGAGCTCTGGGTAAAACCATTGAAATTCCAAAAAGTGCAAGAACTTACACCGCAACCGAAAGAAAATAGACTCAAAAGAGTTAAAGAGTTGCTTCGCTTGGCGGAAAGTGGGAACTGCCGAATTTGGTTTTCTCCGTCTCCGATGAGAAAAAATTCGTTCTCCAGCAGTTTCTAAACAAACAAAATGATCGTGCTCACTTGCCAAAGAGGTCAGCTGAAAATGTGCATCTTCGGTTGGCCACCAGAACTCAAGTGCCGGCCATGGTGATGGTGTGGGCCGCCATAACAGCCGCTCCTATTAATTGACCGTGGCATCAGAATAAATGTCGAATATTATCGCGAAAATATTCTGGATGGTGTATTAAAACATTTTGGCCGCAGACCTTGGACATTCCAACAGAACTCAGCAACATCGCACTCAGCACGCGCCACCCAAGAATGGTGACAAAATGAGGTTCCACGCTTCATTTCCAGCGCACAATGGCCACCTAAATCCCCGGATACCAATCCGTTGGACTATTGTGTCTGGAGTATTTTGGAAAGCAAGGTTGGCACTAAAAAATACGAAATTGTCGATCACCTCAAGGAAGGGCTTCGCCGGTAATGGGCCAAAATACCGCAGAGCAACATTCGGGCAGCGTGTGAGGGTTTCATTGGCCGTTTGAAGGCCATAATTCGTGCCAAAGATGACCAATCCGAACAAATCCAAACTTATTCTAAAATTTGATGCTATTTCCGACATTTTTTGCTTTCATTCAATAAAATTTAAAAAAAAATGTAAAAATTATGGCGTTTGACTTTGTTGCAGTTTTTTTATCTCACCCTGTAATTCAAATTGCTCTTGATTATCGGAAAATATATATATTTTAAACTGGTACATTTGATATAGCCCCAAGTAATAACTTTTAATTATCTACATATTGTATATAGAACAAAGTATACCTGATCATTTTTGGGAGCTTTCAGTGAACTATAGTCCTTGACAGCATTTTCAGGTAATTTTTGTATTTTATTCCAATCAATGGAGGGACCCTCTGTAAAAAAACACAACAAATAAATAAATCACATCAACAAAATAAAAAAAAAAAACAAGAACCCACCTTCTTGCAAAAATCGTCCAAACAATTCGGCAAAACGTTCCATTTCGAATTGCAGATCCGGCCGCTTTTCCGGTTCGGCAGTTTGCAATAGTCTATCCAAATCATTTTCCAATTGACGGAGAGCATCACGTTTGGTCAATTCATGAAATTCTTTGGAATCGGATGGAGCTCTTTGGTGGCCACGTACCTAAAAGTAAGAAAACAAAACACAAAATAAAATAATTTGTCAAATATTGTGGCGTTGTGGTTAATGCAATTAAGGGGTAACCTAAATGAAACAAAAAATGGTTAAGATAAAATTTGTTGAGTATAATGTGGTAAATTTATTTCAGCCATAACATACGATTCATTTTGGAGGCGCTTAAATGTGAGGTTTGTGCAATTACAGTAATTACGTGTGGAAATTTATTATGTTAATTGCCACGCATGGGGAAGTATCCCGCATAGAGTTTGGTTTAGAAATGTAACAAATTTTCAAAAAATAGTTTATCGTAATCATCAGGAGTTAACTGTGCAAATATGGAAATATATAACAATATTGATTTAGTATAGAAAATTACATCTGTTCATATTTTAGCACACGTTCCAGACACTTGTGTCCACAAAATCTGGCATGTTTGCTATTTGGGCCTATTGTTTAAAGATTGGTTGGCTGAAAAAGGTATATCGCAAAGGGAATGTTGTAATTATTTGTTCATAACAAACATGTTGTATGTAAGTGATTCAAAAAACAGTTTACAAAATTCGGATTTTAATAAACTTATAGGTAATGAGGTGGACCTTTGGGGCTTGAGATATTTTACTATTATATACATAAAACAAGTTAGAAAATATCAATTGGTTTTGCCGACTGATGTATACCCTCAGCCAATGTTCGATTATTTAAATATATTTTGGCTTCTGTTATGATTATTCAAATTGTTAACCCTCTATGGAGTAGGTTCCGAAGGAATGGGCCAATATTGTCCATTTCATATCGGATCTAAATAAATATGATAAAAAATTGCGACGTGCCAGAATTGGACTATATTGTAACTTTCTTCACTTTATATGAGGTATGTGACAATTTTTAGAAAATTAGAAAAGTGTGCGCATGGTACCACATACAGTCGACCAAAGTATTCCACTTTTCACACCGCATCTAAGGCAGATAAAAATATTGGTATAGCAAAATTACAAGAATATTGAACAATTATCTCCAATTTTATGCGAAATCCTAAATTCCATATGTATCTCAGGTTTCTGGTTGGGAGAAATATTTAGATATAACAAGTTGTAAATAATCGCTGATTTTTGCGCAAGTTATGATAGATAAAAGTATTGAAAATTGCTACCCTTGTTGTGGGTGAAGTACCATATATATCGGTTTTCAAACAGATCTTGTGTTAGCAAAAATGTTTGTATGTGTGAAATTTGAAGAGAATTTTGTTTTTCAAAATCTTGAACCCTAATGGGGGGAAATTCCAGAAGAAATGGTCCGATCCCTCCCATATTTATAACAGATCTTGTGTTGATAGAAATATTGTGGAGGAGGTACCAGAAGGAGTGGACCGGTATATCCCATCTTCACAGCAGATCTTTTTTTAAAAGAAATAATGGGGTGTGTGAAATATGAAGAGAACTGGAAGGTTATTTCGGATTTCATAATCGTTTTGGTTATTTAAAGCTTTGGCCCTTTGTAGGGGAGGTACCAAAAGAAAAGGTCCGATCCCTCCCATCTTTATAACAAATTTTGTGTTGATAGAAATATTGAGAAATATTAATATTGCCAAGCATAAATGGAATACTTAATCAAATTTTGACCCATTGTGGGAGAGGTACCAGAAAGAGTGGACCGATATATTTCATCTTCACACCAGACATCGGACTAATAAAAAGATTGTGCTGTGTGTAATTTGAAGGCAATCGGATCTTTACATCACATTTTGTAAGAGTTATAATTATTCAAAAGTTTGACCCTTTGTGGGGGAGATGGAGTGGACCGACATTGCCCATCTTCGCACCTGATGCACTGGTGTAAATATTGGAATTTGCAAAGTTGGATCAAAATCGAATTATCGTTTCTCTTTTTGTGCAGCAAACTATTATTTTATTTTATTATTATTTTTTTTTTGAAAATATTGACATTTTGTAAGGAGTTACCAGAAGGTGTGGACTGTTATTACCCATATTCGAACTTAATCTAAGTTTGACAATAGTATTACGATGTACCAAGTTTGTACCTAATCGGATACTCCCTTAAATAGTTAGGGTGCGCACCAGACAGACAGACGGACATCGCTAGATCGACTCCAAATGTCCTGAAACGGATTTGGTCCAAAGAAACCTAGAGTCTAAAACCGTTATTTCGATGAGACACCTTTAGGCCGTATCAAATGATTGTTGTCAGTAAGTTATACTGCCGAAGACACTAAGGATTTTAAAAAATCTCAATCCAAATTATTTTTAAAAAAGAAGAGTCTACAGTGAAATCGAGTGGACGAAAATATTTAATAAGGGAGGAGGAACAAAGAATATTTTGTATAAAAAAATAAAACAAAAGCCACAGCTTTTTAACGTGTTTGGTTCTGTTCGCTGTTTATGGAAATTTTCCAAAACAAAACTTCGTTTTTTGTTAAAAATGAAGCGTTTCTGAGACAAAATTTATTCGAAAGCTACAAAATATGGGTGTTGAGCTTTTTGCAAGTTTTGTTATAGGCTTCGTGCGAAAAGCTTGTATTCCTCTTTTATTTGTAAATTATAACCTCCGCCATTTTGGAAGGAATTTTAAAAAATTAAAACAAGTAAAAAAGTTGTAAGTTCGCCCAGGCCGAACCTTGAATACCCTCCGTTAAAAATACGACGACGTGGACCTGCATAGGCAACTTTTATCATAATATTCAAATGCAAAAATTGAAAAAAAAAATCGGTGGATAATGTAGCTAAAATCATCAAAATACCGGATATAGGGAGGTACCATTATATGGGGTTAACCAAAACATGGACCTGCACTGACAATTTTCTGTCATAGGCTGTAGTATCCATGACGAACTTCAAATACCAAATTCGAAACGATTCCGGTGAATAATGTCGCTAAAATTACCAAAATACCGCATATAGGGAGGTACCATTATATGGGGGCCATAAAAAAGGTGGACCTGCATAGACAATTTGCCGTCATAGACTGTAGTATTCATTAGATCTTTAAATACCAAATTTGAAACAATTCCGCAGAATAATGTCGCTAAAATCATCAAAATATCGAATATCGGAAGGTACCGTTATATGAGGACTATATTAAGACGTGGACCTGCACTGACAACTGCACTGTCACAGGCTGTAGTATCCGTTACGAACTACAAATACCGAATTTGGTGAATAATGTCGCTAAAATCATCGAAATACCGAATGTCGGGAGGTACCGTTATATGGCTATACGAAAACATGGACCCATATATCTCATTTTCAATACCAACCATCCTAGACATAATACAAATTGTTCTGCCAAATTTTGAAGCTCTACGTCAAATACTGTATCATGATTTCAACAGACAGACAAACTGACACACAGACGGACATCGTGAAATCGATGCGTGTTATAAACGGAATGACAAAGTTAATATACCCTCCTTTTTATGGTGGAGGGTATAACAATTCGTTGAAGAATACTGCCTAAATGAAAAGCGTTATGTGGATAGGCTGTAGTACCGATTCCGAACGATACGAAATTTTAAATGAAAAACACTATATGGATAGGCTGTAGTACCGATCCCGAACGATACGAAATTTTATAATTTCTCTTATATCATCAAAATACCGAATATTGGAGGTACCGTTATATAGGGGACATACGAAGATGTGGGCCTGTATATGTCATTTTTGACATAAGTTGTAGCCCCCCATTAAGATCTTCAAATACGAAATTTGAAATGATTCTGGTAAATTATGCTAAATTACCTTCTGTGAGCTTCATATAGGCAGAAGACATTACATAAATGAAAAGACAACGCTTTTACTGATAATAATCTCCCCACTAAAATATTTTTTTTAGAAAAATTACTTTGTTTTACGAACCTTTCCCTGTTAAAAATAATAATAACAACAGCAATACATGCCGCCGACTTATTACAAAATTAGGTAAAGAAAATTGTTTTGTAAAGAAGCGTAAAGAAATGCATTCAAGTGACAACTTTTTACATGACAGCCATGACAATCGGTGGGTGCTGAAAACTCCATGGTACATACACCCATTTAGTGGGAGACCAAACTCGCGGAAAGCAACATCATGAAAGTGGCTAAGCTTGTGTGGCCAACTCTGTTGGTAACGGCGGTGTTATTCTTTAATGCCTGCAATTCCAAAGACATTCGAAAGCGAGGAGTTATGGATAATTTTAATGATGGCGTTAAGTTTGCTGGTCAAATGTTTGGTAAGAAAAAACCGATTAAGGAAACAGAAATAATCAAATATGTAAAAAATTTGACGGATTCAAAATTTTTAAGAAAAATTGATTCAAAATCATATCAGTATCCAATTTTTTAAAAATTATCTTTAATATTTTAGGCATTAACACAGCTGCAGATGTTGCAAATCTGGTGGCCAAAGCCTTCTCCAAGACAGCCAGCAATGGAAATGCCGATTTATTGTTATCACTGGTAAAAACGGGCCTACAATCAAAACCCTCTAAAACCCCAAAACCTTCTACCCCGGAGGAGTACAAAAATAAAGACAAATATAATTCTGAAGAAAGTGGCAGAGAACAACAGCATCAGGCAAACGATCGAAACGAAGGAAACACGTCGACGGCGAGCAAAGAAAAAGTTGGCCTAGATTTAAATACAGCGAAATTTGTAACCAGTATTTTACGCATGGTTGGTTTTGATGCAAGCAAACTTGGGGCATTGGCCATAAATGTTTTAATAATGGTGGCATCGACGGTAAAGTCACTCCTTTGAAATCTTTAAGATAATTTTAGTTAATTTAAAAAAACTTCTACTTCAGATTGCCACAACGCTATTGGGTAACACAAACGGCTCAGATGCAACACCCAGTCGCCGTTATCCCGCTGCTCCGCAACATGACACAGCCGAAACGGGTCCAGAAGAACGTTACTCTCCGACAGAACATCAACCCCGCATGCTGGCGGATGGTGGTACACCCATTGATTGGTTTCTACAAAATCCCTCAAAGAAAATGAAATCTCTGCTTGACGAAGCAATCGATTCGAGTTTAACGGATAAAATAACCGATATGATTTCAAATTATGAAAGGCAAGAGGGTGAAACGGGTTGTGTGAAAATGTTGATGTGTAAAAGTGCCCCCTTCATTTGGGGTATGCAAAAGTCTCTGAAGAAGCGAATCGTAGGCGAAACGGATAAGGAGGAGGACAAGAAAAACACAGAGGGAAATGAAAAGGCGGAAAATCGTCGTATCTTCGATGTTGATAGTTTGTATGCACATTTTCCCAATCTTGCCGAGTTTAGGGAACATGGCGCCAAATGTGAAGAGCTATATTCAACCTATTGTAATATCACGAAATTGCGTAGAGAACGCTTTCAGGAAAGAAATTAAAAGTTCTTTGTTAAAAGATTGTTAATTATTTTGGTTGGGAAAATTAATAAATAAATAAAAAAAATATTGAAAAATGCATAAAATTCGTAATCTATATAAACAAGTAAAAAATCATCTAATTTTGGTCGGGCCGAACTTTTAATACCCTCCATAATTTGAAAGGAATTTTAAAATTTTCAAAAAAAATAATCGAAAAATAACGACTAAATGAAAACCGTTATATGGAGGCTATACAAAGACATGGACCTGCATAAGATTTTTTTGTGATTGGCTGTAGTACCGATTCAGATCTTCAAATTTGAGACAATTTCGGTGAAAATATCCCTAAAATCACCAAAATACCGAATTTTGGGAGGTAACGTTATATGGAGGCTATACGAAGACGTGGACCTGCATTAGATTTTTTTTGTCATAGGCTGTAGTACCCATTACGAACTTCAAATACGAAATTTGAAACAATTCCGGTGAATAATGTCGCTAATATCATTAAATCCCCGAATATTGGGAGGTAACGTTACATGGGGGCTATACGAAGATATGGGCCCGCATATGCTAATTTTTAACATAGGTTGTAGCATCCATTAAGATCTTCAAATACGAAATTTGAAACAATTCCGGTAAATAGTGCCGCTAAAATGATCAAAATACCGAATATAGGGATATATCGTTTTATGAGGGCTATACGAAAACGTGGACCTGCATACTCAATTTTTTTGGCATAGGCTGTAGTACCCATTATGAACTTTAAATAAATAATTTGAAACAATTCAATCCATAATACCTCTAGAATCATTAAAACGCCGAATATGGGAAGGTACCGTTATATGGTACGGTGGACCGAAATTTTCCATTTACGAAATTAACCTTTATATTTGGCTGGAAAACCCCAAGTGGCTATCGTTAGAGCACTCCAGCATTTAAATGTGAATAAATCTTTTGTGCCTCGTACCATCGCTCGTTACCGTGATACTGGTAGCGTAGCCCAACGTCAAGGAAGTGGACGGAAGAAAACAGCAACATCAGCAGAAATGGTTCGAAAAGTAAAGAAGCGACTTGATCGAAACCGGCGTCGCAGTGGCCGAAAAATGGCTCGTGATCTGTAAATATCGCAATATTATATTCGGCAAATATTGGAAAATGAGCTCAGGGTAAAGCCATTGAAATTCCAAAAAGTGCAAGAACTTACACCGCAACAGAAAGTACATAGACTCAAAAGAGCTAAAGAGTTGATTCGCTTGACCGAAAGTGGTGAAAAATGATCGTGTTTACTTGCCAAAGAGGTCAGCTGGCCTTCGGTTGGCCACCAGAACTCAAGCGTCGGCCGATTGTCGCTCTTCGCTCGTATTATTCGACCGTGGCATCAGAATCAGAATAAATGCCGAATATTATTGCGAAAATATTCTGGAGGGTGTTTTACAGTTTTGGGTACGCAAACATTTTGGCAGACTTTGGACATTTCAACAGGACTCAGCATCATCGCACTCAGCACCACCCAAGAATGGTTACAAAATTAGGTTCCTCACCTCATTTCCAGCGCACAATGGCTACCAAAATCTCCGGATACCAATCCGTTGGACTATTGTGTCTGGAGTGTTTTGAAAAACAAGGTTGGCACTAAAAAATACCAAAGTGTCGATCACCTCAAGCAAGCGCTTCACCGGGAATGGGACAAAATCCCGCAGAGCTACATTCAAGCAGCGTGCGAGGTTTCATTGGCGGTTTAAAAGCCATAATTCGTGCCAGAGGTGACCAATTCGAACAAATCGAAACTTATTCTAAAATTTGATGATATTTCCGATATTTTCGACACTAGCGACGTCGTTGGTATAAACCACAGTAAATTGTAAGCAATTGAGGTTTTAAGACATACGCAACACCATTTTTTTTTTTTTTTTTTGTAAAATTGAATTTTGTCAGTTGTTAATTGACCCAAAATTAAGGTATAGTAAATATGGCGACAGCTAGACCCCAAGTCAATTAATCAATTAATAAACACAAGAAATGAAATTCAATAAATGTCGAAAGAATTTCAATAATTTGCATTCGGTTGTCAACCAAAAAATAATAAAAATTAAAATATAAACGAATAAATAAATGTTTGAACATATCATAACAACACTAATCTAATTCCATCAAGATAATGTCCAAAATTGCAACTGCGATTTCTTTATGGCGCCAATCAATATTTTAATTCTATTTTTAGATCAAGTGTTTTCTGTTTTTGTTCTTCTAGCTCAAGTTTAGCAATGACCTTAAGAAGGTCAAACGAATACACCGCCACCGTCACGTTAGGTGCACTGCCGTTTTGTTCTCACGTTATCAAATCTACATATTTTGAAAGCGCTTATCATTTCTATTTACATTGTGACTTTTGCTGACTTTCAGAATATTAGTTTCATTTACCATTATCAGGCATTGAATTTTAGTTAGGTGGCTGTCAGACCGTTCGTCCGTCAGTTAGCCAGCTTGGCAGCCAACAGGTTGTTGTGCACAGTGAAATGGAAAAATACTTTGTATTTTATCAAAAAAATAAATCATATTTAGAAATAAAGCTACAAAGTCTATTTTCAATACTAAAGTTTATGATTTGAAAAAAGTTTTGAGAAGAAACTTCTATCGGGAACCATACTTCTTCTATTGCTCTGTTCCAGAACCCACAAGATATCGAACCTAAGGCCGGGCCGAACTTTCAATACTATACACCATTAGGAAGAAACTTAAAAAAAATTATAAAAATTTCGTTGAAAAGGAATTAAATGGACCGTTAAATAGGGGCTACAGGTACCGCAGAACCTGCACGTAATTTTTTGTCATTGACTGTAGTACCGATTCCGAACTTCAAAAGGAAATTTGAAATAATTTCGCTTATATTATCAAAATACGGAAAAAGGAAGATGCCATTACATGTGGGCTATACAAAGACGTAAGCCTGTATACGTAATTTTCTGTCATAGGTTATAGTGTCCATTACGAATTTCAAATACGAAATTTGAAACAATTCCGATGAATAATGTCGCTAAAATCATCAAAATACCGAATATCGTGAGGTATCGCTTTATGGAGGCTATACGAAGATGTGGACTTGCATACGCAATTTTTTGTCATAGGCTGTAGTGCACATTGCAAATTTTAAATACAAAATTCAAAAAAAAAAAAAACTCCGGTTAAAAATATTGCTAAAATCATCAAAATAACGAATATTGGGAAGTGCCGTTATATGGGAATTATATGAAAACGTGGACATACATGACCCATTAACGAACTTGCCCTACTCACTGGCAAAATACACATGTGTGAAAAATTTTAGCCTTCTATCTCACTTCGTTCGATAGCATAATTACAACAGGCAAACGGACAGATACACATACAGGATGAGATTAAAAAACTGCAACCAACCTCAGATTGCCGTCATTCCTAAGCCACTCGTACGACAGCTATTAACATTATTACAGTGACAGCTCATTATATTGTTTACAAGCGTACAAAAGCATTTTGGTGAGAATTTTCCAGAAAAAAGTTATAAAATTCAAGCGTGAGTGTGCGATTTCTTTTGTATTTGGCTGGAGAACCACAAGCGGCTATCGTTAGAGCACTCCTGTATTTAAATGTGAATAAATCTTTTGTGTCTCGTACCATCGCTCGTTACCGTGATGCTGGTAGCGTAGCCCGACGTCAAGGAAGTAGACGCAAGAAAACAACAACATCAGCAGAAATGGTTCGAAAAGTAAAGAAGTGACTTGATCGAAACCCGCGTCGCAGTGGCCGAAAAATGGCTCGTGAGCTGAACATATCACAATGTTCCATTCGGCAAATATTTAAAAATAAGCTCGGGATAAAGTCATTGATATTCCAAAAAGTGCAAGAACTAACACCGCAGCAGATGGAAAATAGACTCAAAAGGGCTAAAGAGTTGCTGCGTTTGGCCGAAAGTGGTCAACTGCCGAATTTGGTTTTCTCCGATGAGAAAACAATCGTTGTCCAACAATTTGTAAACAAACAAAATGATCGTGTTCACTTGCCAAAGAGGTCAGCTGAAAATGTAAACCTTCGGTTGGCCACTAGAACTCAAGCGCCGGCCATGGTGATGATGTGGCCTGCCATAACAGCCGATTGTCGCTCTCCGCTTGTATTAATCGACCATTGAAGCAGAATAAATGCCGAATACAGGGTTGCCCATATTCGACGGACTCATCTGGCAACGCCATAACTTTTGACAGAGATGTCACATCGCTTAATGACATACCGCGTTTGAAGCGTCAGTACAAGCAGATTTTTACCATGAACCAATACACGCCACGCGAACTCTCTGAAAAAGTTAAAATTTACAAGAAGTCAATTGTGAAAACTCAACGTGCTTTTAAAACATTAAAAATGTGAGAAGTGCGCGTTAAGCGTTTATACGAAAAATTTTCGACTGGTAAGGCTCTTTCTAATCCGAAGAGGCCATATAAAAGTCGACCAAGGCGATCGGCCGAGAATATCGCTGCCGTACGAGCCAGTGTTGAGAGGTCCCCAAGAACATTCCAAAAACGCCGTTCTCAGCAGTTGGGCATGGCTCGGTCCACTTTACAACGGATTATTCGCATTGATTTGCATTTGTTCCCGTACAAAATGCAATTGACGCAAAGAATGTTGCCTGCGGACAAGCCTCATCGATTGGATTGGGCCCAAAGGGCCCAAAGGTCCGTCGAATATGGGCAACCCTTTATTATCGCGAAAATATTCTGGAGGGTGTATTAAAGCTTTGGGCACGCAAATATGTTGGCCGCAGACATTGGACATTCCAACAGTACTCAGCACGCGCCACCCATCAATGGTTACAAAATGAGATTCATCGCTTAATTTCCAGCGCACAATGGCCACCAAAATCTCCGGATACCAATCCGTTGAGCTATTGTGTCTGGATTATTTTGGAAAGCAACATTCGGGCAGAGTGTGTCAATTGCCGTTTGAAGACCACAATTCGTGCCAAAGGTGACCAATTCGAACAAATCTAAACTTATTCTAAAATTTTTCGACATTTTTGCTTGCAT